TTTTGTGTAAAGAGTGAATATTGAGGAGTGGATATGAAATAATGCAAAGTTTAGTACAATACAATTTATTATAGAAATAGGTATTTTATAATTGAGTTCATAAGTCAATCGAAGCTAGATCACCATGGATAACCTCGAATCGCTGGATGGCCATTTCGTCCTAGTATGGGACCCCTCAGCAGTGCACATCCACGATTCTGCTTCGCGAGACTCGGACACAGGATCTATCAATCTCGCGCGCGAACACTTAACTACTGGACCATTGAGCGGACATCTAACGGTGTTCCTTCGTTCCTTTATTTGCACACCAACTGTTCTCGTTCTCTTTTCTTCGATCTTCTTAACATTTCGCCGTCAGGAATATCACATTCTATTAATGATAAATACTACTTATATCTGTCGATATCAATAGCAATGTGATGTCTGTTATTATGTTAAGCCCATATACCTTATTCTAACTTTCGGACAGCTTAATCTATTCATTCTACTTTAGTCACATTCTCATCTTGTTAATTATTCGCTTATCAATCTTCACTGTTTTTATATGAGCGCGTAGGTGTGCGTTCATTTCCCATCCCATTCATCACATGTCTGAAACTTTGTGTGACTATAAATATTGATTAACGTTTGGTTAAATGGGAGTTGGCTTACCCGCCATTTCCACTGTGTGTCGTTTCTCTTCTCTCTATTCCATTCTCTTCATATACAAAATATATGTATTCGAAAGTTCATTCACGTTATTTGACTTATTTAATTCCATTATTGATTAACGCGATTTAAGTCGATGATTATATACGAGAATAGACGACATATATATTTTGACAACGATCATTCATAAGATCTACATGGAGTCGGATCCACGAGCCACTAAAGTGGAGAGCCCGTCTACAAGCATTGTCCAATCTAAATGACGGCAAAATATACGGCCCCACAGTGTATATCTATATCCCTCTTATTATAAGCTTGGTTTTGATCTATAGAATATTACTATACGATTTACTGTTCTCAAGTCATATTCAGTTTATTAATTACAGTCTCCCACGTTCACAGCCACTTTTTGGCTTGATCTTGTATAAATGTTATATCCTATTTTTTTACAGAGTGATGCGTTCTATTTGGCGTGTATGTAAACCAAGTATGTTTGAAATAAATGATTCACATAGTGGAAACTGTTCTTGACGTTCTGAACTAAACTGGAAGGATAAGTAAGGACTTTAGGCTGCTCATACCGATCGAACGTTATTGGTTTGACATAGTGCTAAGATTGTATAAGTCGTATCCCTATCAGCGAATAAGTCACATGATAATTAGCCTAACTTCAAGTCATAACAGCAATATTATTTAATAGATCGTTTAAGAAATAATCTTGGCACCTTAGTACACCTTGAGAAATCCCATTTTAATACATCCTATTCATAGTTTTTAATTATTTAAAAGACAAATTTACTACCAATAATTTTTATAAACAAAAAGAAATAATGAACAAAATTGGATTGGATTTTATTGTACACCAGATAATAAAATGAAGTAGGTAATGCATAACTGTGATCATTGTTTGATGAAAATATTTTGATGGAGTTTTGTTCTTTGAGCTGGATAGTTTAGTCGTGTTTGTTCTCTGTGTCGTTTGCATGATATCTCGATGGCTGTTGTCAAGATTTCCAAATGTTCTGACGTAAGTGTCCTTTTTAGCTTCATCTTTTGATCCTCTATGACGTGTTGGTGTTTGCGGATCCTGTAGTGTGCATCCGTTATCATTAGGTGTACCATTTTTCTTCCACTTTGCTCAGCTATTCTTCATCCTAATGGGCAGTTGATTGGAGGTCTATATCTTAAACCTGTTGCTAGAACATGCTTCCGAAGACACTCATAGAGAAAATACATTTGTTCTCGAGTGGATGCCTTCCTTTTAGCGAAATTCTACCATTTTCGAACAACGAGAAGTGTATTACGCTCATATGATTTTGAGATGGTGGAGAAGATTTGTAGCTCAGGTGGATGAACAAAACTCCATCAAAATCATCCACCTGAGCTACAAATCTTCTCCATCATCTCAAGACGAAAGTATTGATGCTTTAGATCATGCAGTCGTTGTAGAAACAAGAAGAGTTACATTTGATAGTTGTAAGACATTCTCGAGATTTTCTTCCTACTCTCAAGCCTAATTAAGTTGCTGATACTTATTTATCAAATAAACAGTTTGTCAGGAGTTACAAATGATCCCTGTGACAGTGTTTCTAGAAGCCAAAAAAGATTTCAGAACTATTTTGATTAATTCACTTGGTATTGTTTACTTGAATCTTCTCATTGATGTTTAGGACTGCAATTGATCAGTCTCTTACTGGCATATGTGCACACTGTGCATATTGTCTCGTTATTGCCTTATATCACAAACATCATAAGCAAAGACTAATCATAGTCCTATGAAATATTTTTGGAAAAATTTATTATCAGAAGGGTTTTGTGGATATTATAGTAATTATAATGGTTGAGATCATGAGGCAATTGAGGCTAGACGACTATGGATGAGACGGCCGTCCAGTGTTTCCAGCTTTTCCATGGTGGTCTAGCTTTAATTGACTCATGATCTCAACCATTGAAAATTTTATTATTTCTGTGTAAAATATTTCGGAAATCTGAAAAAAATACTATCTATTGCAGCGATTTGGAAGACTCTCCCAGTCTCACACGAGCATTTCATGTACCTAAATAAATGGTTGCTCTGGTTGTCAGAAGGGGCATCGGCCTCGTGACTTCCGAAGGAACTCGGCTTTCATCATGAGGCGTCATAACTCTTCCAAATGAAGACCTTCTGACTCCCAGGGTAGAGTTTATATCGGGGCCCGGGACTGGCAGTAGCCCCCGGAGGGACTCTAGGCAGAGTTAGAAGAGGACGATCACTGGTGCGTGTAAGGGAATTGACGAAGTCTCAATGTGACACTGAACGGAGTGAGAATGTGACGTGGCGGTGGTGTCGGTGTTATTGATTAGCTGTGATAGTGTGGTTGTAGTGTTTACTCCCTATTACTCATGTCTTAACATTACAAAGTCAGACAAAATTATTCTATTTTCATCTGTTGTTTATGTTATGTTACTCGCAGTATAGATGCTGTGGAGATTGTGAAGCTTTTGATTGACATCGCGAACTGCTTGATGTTACACCGCCATTGAAAACCTGGAAGCACTGAACGACCGTTTCGTCCAATCGTGAGACTCCTCAGCAGTTCACATCCATGATCCCGCTCGCGCGATACCTGTTTGTTACTGAATATTTTCACTTTATCCGTTTTATTTACAAGTAATATGGTTTTTTAATATTCATGTCTTGCTACATTGAATATTCACTTAAAAACGGACAAATTTGACGATTACATATTGGAACAAATTCAGTGTTTAACATAATCTAGAAGGTAAATAAATAGACATTTACCAATTTACATGTTTGTGTGGACACATGTGCGCATCCACGATTACGCGAGCGGGATTTGAACCTAGAGCCTTCAGTCTTGCGCGCGAACGCTTAACCTACTGGATCATTGAGCCGGCATCCAACGGTGTTGGTGTCTAACCCCAACCAATCCACGAAGTTGCACGACCATCTTTCACTGTACTGAGGTAGACACCTGTTTCTACCCGACACGGATTAGCTCCACTGGTCACGGCTTTTCACCAGAACTCCGAGAGTTTTCTCACGAAGCTAGTCACTAGTGAGCACATGATAATTATCATTTTAGGGGTTGTGTATGCGCACTGCTGATGAGTCCCATACTAGGACGAAACGGCAGTCCAGTGCTACCAGGTTTCCAACGGTGGTCTAACATCAATCAGTTCATGGTCTCAATCAAAAACTTGACAATCTCCACAACCCCTAAACTGATAAAATGTTTTTATTACAATAATTAATGGTCATTAAACGTCATAAAGGTGTAAAGAAATAAATGAAGTGAAACCCTAAGCAATTATGAATAAAATAATCAGAATATGAGACAAAGGTAAGAGAAGTAAAGTAAAGGAAATTAAGGTTAAAGTAACGCTAACGGTAGGCCGTACTTCTTTTTATGAATAGTTCTGCCTTGAGCTCATGGATGGTTAGAGCTTCGGGTATTTTTAAGAGTTGAATGAGAAGAAACCTAGTTCGCTTTCATGGAATTTAAGCAGTGTTTTGATTTTGTTTCGAAAAATCATATTTTTGCAATCATGCGCGATTGTTGGTAAAAAATATTTTTGATATTGAAGTTAACATTCCATAAATATTACAAATATTTATGTAATTTGTGGTTACTTTTTTCGAAAGAATGAGTTTTTCATAGCTACTCGTGTAACTGAAGTTAACCAATTTAACTTACTATGTGTTCTTCAATTGGAAGAATGTTGTCCATGCTTTGTAAATCCTCTCCTTCACATCTGCATCTGATCCTCCTTATTCATCGATGATGTAACTGACCACCAGGTGCGTAAAAGTTTCCACATCTTCCAAAGCTTCCCCATTAAGTGTTATTGAGTTGTTGTTTTTCGTGTTGAATGTGAAAATGTTGTATTTTCCTTTGTGTATGTTGAGACCTACCAATGAAGAGTCTGCTGCTGCTACTACACTAGTTGTCCTCATTTGCATTTGTTGGTGTGTATGGAATAGAAGAACTAGGTCATCTATGGAGTCTTTACCGTTTAGCTGTTTCAGAGTTGTCCTTTGTATTCTGTGTTTCCCCTGAGATGTGGAGGTCTTTACAATCCAGTCAAGTACCAGAAGAAAGAGGACGAGGTAGAATAAGCAAACTAGTTTGGTTCTAGTCCTCCCTTCGGATGCGCCTGTCAGCTGTTCTCCATGTACGACTTTAAAATAAATTCTGAATGATGTTGACGACTTTATCTTCTAGTTACATTATACTGTCCATAAATTCTTCATATCCACACTGTCGAATGCTTTCAGATAATGAAGGAAGTTGATATATAGTGACGATTTGCATTCAATTGCACGTTAAATGATGATCTGTAATGTGACAATTTGGTCTGTGCACTACCGATGCTCACAGCATGTGGTCTAATGATCTGGAAGGTCTAAGTCTAGTCAATCTTTCATCCGGTTCATCAACACTATGTTGAAAACCTTTCTTGATACTGACATTAGTGGGACTTCTCTGTAGTTCTCAGATTTGCTCAGATCTCTTTTCTTTGATATGTTGATGAGTCATCCTTTCCTTCAGTCTGTTGGCAGTTGTTCTTCCTTCTAAATCTTTCTGAATAAAACATGGAGCATCTTTCCACTTAATTGTATATCTGTTATAGCTTGTGACTGCCAATTAGGGAGCAGTGACTTATCGATCGAATCAATGACGCGCAAACGCGTATGAACAGCCTAGAGTCCTGATCGGTCTTGCAGACCACAACGTACTATAAAATAGAAAACAACATTTATACATGGCCAAATGTGGCTGTGAATATGGGAGGCAGTGAATAATAGACAGGACATAATTCAAGAATGGTAAAACGTATAATAATGTTCCATGAGTCAAAATAAAGCTTATAATAAGAGGAATATGAATATGAATAATTTAGTTAATTAACAATTATACGATAAAAAATATACGTGTAGTATTGGTCCATAAATGGATCCCAAAGTTACCATTCATTATGCTTATCGGGATCTAACAATATCAAACTTCAATGTTTCACTTCATATATTATCAGATCCTACTGCTTACCTTAATCCAACTTCAAAAAACAAAAAAAACAAGAAACTCATCTCCCTTTTAACATTTCCACATATTCTCAATTATACTTTCACATAGAACTTTCTTTAATTATTCAACTAGTTGTCATCCCATTTTTTCTTCTTTTCTTTGCTCTCAGATTTTTAATTTTTCACTTGACCTCATTTTATTTATGTATCACTAGTATACCTATATTTTTCTTTTCTTTTTTCAGAAAAAAATTATTATTTTTGGCACCGTATTATGGTTCGATTGAATGATAAGTGATCTCATGTGTAAAAATTGTCTCCTTTCTCTTTTCCTTTTTTCTTTTCTTTCTCTATTTTCGTTTTCATTTTATTTTTTTTGACTGTTTATATTACTTAAATAAGTAAAAGCTAATTCATTCGCTTTCTATTCTCGTTGGTTATTTATTATTAACCAATCATATTACATTGATTATATTATTTAATAAATCATTATCAATATATTTATAGTGGATATATTTCACTTATATATAATAATGATATTTCATTATTAACATATATATATGTATACAATATTTATTTCTATTAAATATGAATAATATTTCATTATCATTAATTATCAATAGTGATATTACTACTAAAACTACTTATATGAATGTTAGTAGTATTCTAACAAATCCTATGAATACAAATACATGTATTGATCATTATCCATGGTTAGAATTATTTCATCAAAATTATCAACGTATACATGTTTATTTATGTTTAATATTATGTCCAATCGGTGTGATAGCAAATACATTAAATGTAATTGTATTATGTCAAACACGTTTACGTAGTCCAACTAATTTATTATTAACTGTATTAGCTGTTAGTGATGGTTTTGTTATGTTTATCTATATTATATTTGATTATTTTTATTTAATGACACCAAGATTAATTATTGGTATGTCTAAATCTTATGCACAATTATTATTAATTAATATTGTATTACAAAATTTATTTCATACATTCTCTGCATGGATTATAGTTGCTGTTGCTATATTTCGTTTAATTTATATTAAAACTGGTGTTAGAGCTGCTATTTATTGTAATATGTTTAAAGCATGGATTATTATTATATTAGTATTGATTAGTTCTATATTATTAACTATACCATTTATGATTGCACATCAAGTACGTATAAAATCAAATAATCAATTATTATTAATGAATTCTTATAATATAATCAATAATCAATCAGATACAATAATATTCAATCATTATAATAACAGTATAATCAATAATCAATCAGATACAATAATATTCAATCATTATAATAACAGTATAATCAATAATCAATCAGATACAATGATATTATATGAAGTTGATTATACGACAAATATAAATCTTAGAATAATATTATTTTGGAATTCAGCAATACTTGTTAAAGCATTACCAATAATAATAATGACAACAGTAAGTACAGCATTAATATTATCAATTAGAGAATCAGAGAAACGTTATCGTATATTAAGAAGATATCGTCATTGTAAAAATATTCAAATGACAATAGAAACAACACGTGTTGAAAGTTTTATTCAGAATAATGAAAATAATAATGATAATGATAAGTCAATAACAATACAACGTTCAAAGCATAAATCAAATTCACATCCTGAAACATATTCTGGTGGACGTAGTGCAAATCAAACTACATATATGTTACTTACTATTATTATGTTATATATATTTACATATTTACCACAAGTAAGTATAGAGTTTCATTATTATCTTTTTTTAAACAATATATTATTTAATAGTTATAGATATCCACAAAGAATCCCTCCTGATATGTATCAATATATACTCACTAGTGACTGGTTTCAAGACGTATATGATGGAGTTCTAGTGAAGTGGTGTTCAAACTGGGTTTGTTGTGTGACTCAATTCCGTGGATTCGTTAAAGTTAGACATTAACACCATTGGATTCCGCTTGACTGAGTGGTCTAGAGGTTAAGCGTTCGCTCACGAGACTGATAGGTCCTGGTTTAGAATCTCGCGGGAGGCGTGATGGTGGATACGCACTGCTGAGGAGTCCAACAATAGGACGAAATAGCCGTCTAGTGCTTGGAGGTTTTCCATGATTGTCTAGCTTCAAGTGATTCATGATCTTAACCATCGAAGTTATATTAAAACTACAATGATATCTCAATCGTTAAGATTATGAGTCAATTGAAGGTAGACTACTACAGAAAACGTGGAAGTGCTGAAAGACTGGGACTCTTTACGTTCAATTGACTCATGATCTTAACTATTAAAATTACTATAATCTCCACAAAATTCCTTCTGACAGAATGATATCATTGTACAAATAGTCTATTTTTCTAATATTACCCAATCTCTCTATTTTGGGGTTTTCAGCAAAGTTCAATAGTTTTCTCTAAACTTTGGGGAGATTTTAGGATTTTTGTACCATTTCTCCAAAATTTTTTATAACAGCTTCACTAAAACGGACATACATTTTTCTCAGAATTAAGAGATCAGGTAGTTTTAGTAGTAAATAACTGAAATCGATTAGGATGAAACTCTAAAAACGAAAACTGTACTATACTGAACTATACTATTCAAGTCCTCATTTACCTTCTTCAACTTGTGATAATATTATAATTTTATTAACTGTTTGGTTATCATTCAAGGAGAAAAATATTAAAAACATAATGTTGAAATGATGAAAAAGATTTGTAGCTTAAGTGGATGATTTAGATGGGGTTTTGTTCTCTGAGCTGGATGATTAAAGTCTACTTGAAGTTTGTTCTGATGATATTGTCCAGAAGGACAAATAAAGCTCCAAGACTAAATCATCCATCTCAAAAAACAAAACTCTACCCCAGAAAAATAACTTAAATATCAACAATTAATTTATGCAAATATCAAGATTGAGTTAGTTGCATGAAATATCAAAAATTAAATTATTCTTAAATGTATTATTATTATGATTGATTGCCTTATTTAATATTAGATGTTTGGTACAAAATAGGATTCTCAAAACAAAGTATTTTAACAAGTTTCCTCTCTCTAGTTTTTGAGTGATCCTGATGATAAATATTGAGTGATCTGCGGATCAATGATAGAAGGAACGACCTTTGAGCGATGATAGACTGACTTTGAGAGTGTCCATCTAATAACCGGGACCAAATGAAGGTTAGAAACCGGTGTGAGGAATTGGAATTATATTTTACAATTTATGATTAAGGTTAATAATTAGATGAATGTAGATAATTTTTTCCGATAGGTCTATAGAAAAGAGAAAAAACAATCTGAGAATTAACAATATTTAAACTAAGGAATTCTCGAAATTGCTTATCTACTTTATACACAGTATTATAAAACATAATAATATGACTTACTTATTTACGCATGCTACCCCTGGTTGTCGAGGAGGGGCATAGGCCAGTCATCGGCATTCTCCATCCATCTTTATCCTGGACAATAATTTTCACATGTTTCCAGTTGCTATTGATCCGTTTCATATCATACATACATACCGGCGGCCTGCTTGAATATCTGGGCTACCTGTTCCTCCTATCTAGATATTTCGTCAAGTTATCTGTTTTCTTGTTTGTTTTAACACATTATTATGTCTATTGAGCTCAAAACCTATTCAGGCGCGTTTATGAAAAGTTTACAACCTTTCGCTGTACGATTACAAAAAGGTACAACCAGCGACATCATGATGGCTTGCAATATGCATTGAAACGAATGAACATTATTCAGATGTCGATTACCGAACTCCTAACATCTAACTGGCCACCACTCAATATTTATCGTCAGGATCGATCAAGATATAAGAAAAGGAAACCTGTTGAAATACTTTATGCTGAGAATTCTATATTGTACCAAAAATATAATGTTAAATAAAGCTTATTTGTCTTTTGATCTCCTCCTTCTCCATTTCAACTCACAACTCTAGTTAGTAAGCGCTTGTCTCATGGTGCAGTTTGGTGATTTCCGTAATGTATCTCCTATCTACTAACTCTATCGATTTTACCTAATTTCCTCCTCTTTACGAACACGGTTTGTTATCTTCCACATTAGACTATTGCTGATGGTATTCAACCAACGGATATTGAGTATCAATTCATTTTTTAGCCTTATCTAAGCTTCAACGTACAGTAATTTTATTACTTGAGATCATAAGTCACTTGAAGCTAGACTACCATGGAAAATCTTGGACAACTAGATGGCCATTTCGTCCTATTGTAAGACTCCTCAGCAGTGCGCATCCATGATCCGCCCTCACAAGATTCGAACCCAGAACTTACCAGTCTCGCGCTCGAGCACTTAGTTTAGTATAAACGTTTCGATAAATAAACCGAGTATATATAAACATCAAAACACATCATGGTTAACAGGCTTATTCTCATTACTATTAAACAAAATGAAGTTTAGGTTTAGACTGTTAAATGTTGTTATCATTCGTTTTATTTTTTATAAACGAAAACATAAAGTAAAAAACAGAAATTGTATCAGAGTAAAATAAACGTATTTTCTATATTGTATATTCACATTACTTTCTTACAATATTATTTAAACTAAGACAAAACCATTGGTCAAATTTAATAACAATAGTAATACTATCAGAAGGAGGTTTTTTTGTGGATATTATAGTAGAACCTTTCGAGGCGGGATCGTGGATGCTCGCTACTGAGGAGTCATAATCTAAGCTATTGAAATAATAATATTACTTAAATAAAAATGAGGTAAATATAATTAATTCAAAATGATGTATCAGATTAATAGAAAGTTAAATAGAATATCAATAGTTGACAAGGTCAATATTCCTAGAAAGTGTTCAAGCTATTAATGGAGTTTTGTTTTCTTGCAGTGTGTGCTACTTATATCGATATAAGTAGTGTATAATGTTAGTCAGGAATAGAATGCCTGCCAGCAGAAGGTCAAGGAGATCATGAAGGAAAGAATGCATACAGAAAGTAATTGGTATGGAGACAATGAAGGAACAATAAAGTTGAAAACGATTGATCAAGATCGCCAAAATGAACATTCAATTTTAGGATAATTGATTGACATTTTACAAATTAAGTATTCACTGTATAGTTCTCAGATTTTACTAGGATGTTCTGTAATTTTTTGTCTTTGAATACGATCAATTGTCTCCAATTGTATTCTCATTCACTACACTCTTAGCTGGATGGTTTGGTTGATCAAACCATCAGAGAACAAAACTTCATGAAAATCATCCACCTGAACTATAAATTTTCTCCATCATTTTAAGTTTGTTAAATTGGTGAATACAATAAATATCTTAATTAGATGAGATAAAAAGGAGAGAAAATAACTAATAAGGTAATCCTAAACTTATATTCTTACATTAATGATAATTAGACAACTGTTTTCTTTTTGTTATATCTAGAAGGTTGTTTACTTGATGTTAATTTGGAGAGTAATTCATGTGAACTAGATTTGTAAATCTTTACAAAATCATGTTCTTACATTGATAAATAATTTTAAGTGACTTTAAGATATCAATAGTATTACTACGATTAATTAAGTAGTATTTGATTGAACTTTAAAGACATTGGAGCACAGAAGTATCATCTCTTTCTTTCAAATGATTGGTGTACGATGTTTTCATAAGATTGTGAATGTTCATTGACTGAGATGGTTGGGCCACTTGTTACGTATGCTGAACACCGACTACCACTGTGAGCAATGCTGACTACTGTTGGGGATGGTTCGAAGAAAGTTAGGGGTGGTCAAACCAAAACGTGGAATCAGTGCTTAAAGTCACTAACTTCTGGTCTTAGCCATGTTGGTAAATGCAGACTGCTTGGTTGGGATCCGCGTAATTATCGTAACCAATGGTTGAAGATTCTGTGTGACATGGCTCAGAATCGATCACAATGGTGTAGGTGTATACACTTTTTGTCTTTCCTTAAATCGTGAGATTAAAATTAGTTTATGCCCTTCTTTCTGTATTATATATATATTAAAATTACTATAATATCCACAAAAACTCCTTCTGATACTAATCAACATATGTTCACTGGTGACTGACTTCAAGAGGTATATGACGGAGACTGATAGGTTCTAGGTTCGAATCTCGCGAGGTGGGATCGTGGATGTTCACTGATGAAGAGTTCCACAATCGGATGAAACTGCCGTCCAGTACTTCCAGGTTTTCCATGGTGATCTAGCTTCAATCGACTCATGACCTCAACTATTTGAATATACTTATAAGAAGTAGGAAATCTCAGATTTGCATCAACTACTAATTAAGATATAGTTCTGAATTATTAGTAACATAATTCAGATAAAAACGATCTGTGTATATAATGAGCAGTTGTATAACTAGTGAATTAATTAACTACAAGGAAATGTAATCTGAATGAGGCAGAACGTGTTTTCTTTTTATGAATGACATAAATCAAGTGAAAGACTTGAATAAACGACTTTTTTAAAACAGAAATAAACATAAATCTCTTGAATTTCTTACCCAAATTGAAATATTACCATTCATTGAACATATTTTATTTAATTTATTTACAATACTTTTTCCCATGAATATTATTCGTCAGTGAACGGGAACACAAAGGGAATTAATTGACTGTATCAGGACACAAAATTACAAAATATCCCATTAAAACCTCAGAACCATAAAGTAAATTTTCCATTTGCGAAAAGTCCATTAATTGTCTCAGACTTCATTGTTCCTTTATTTTTTCCATATCAATTATTTTCTGTTTCCA